AAATTGGCCACAACGACACCCCCGAGAGGCCGCCCACGATACCCAAACGAAGGTCCAGAAGGCATCTGACCCACAAGCCAGGAACGGTGGCGGGATGGACCGAAGGCTATTGGACGGCCCCAAACGCCCAATACGGTCTCCAGACGGCCCAAGAGGCCACCAAGATGCCCAAGAGGCCTCCAAGATGCCTCCCAAGAGAGCTCGAAGAGGCCAAACAACATTGATTGTCCTAAGGTTGTTGAGCAAGTTAGCAGTTTCCGCTTGTTCCGTTTCCCGACATTGCAAGACGCCCTGAAAGGCCCCGAGGATCGCCCCAAGACGGCCCAATATGTTTCAAAAGCGTCCCAAGACGGCTTCAAAACGGCAGAAGCTTGAGATGGCCCCAAGCAAGGCCCAGGATCGGGAACGTGAACCGAGAACCCGAGATCTTCGCCACAGGAGATCTTTTAGGAGGCCTCAAGAGGTCCCCAAGAAGCCCCCAAGAGGCCCAAAGGAGCCCCCAAAGAGCCCCCAAGGGCATTAAAATTAGCCTGGCGAAGGACCCAACCATATGCAGTTGTGAGTAATGCTGGTGTGAGTACCGTCTTCGGTGGATCTCCCTATGGGGCCACGAACCGTTTGAGGGGTGTGCCGAAATGGGTGTGGGGGCGGCATGCGAACGTTGCCACTGGGGCCTTCGGTGGAGCTCCTTATGGGGCCACGAAACGTGTGAGGGGTGCACCGAAGTTGGTGTGGGGGCGGCATGCGAACGCAGCCACTGGGACCTTCGGTGGAGCTCCCTGTGGGGCCACGAAACGTGTGAGGGGTGTGCCGAAATTGGTGTGGGGGCGGCATGCGAACGCAGCCACTGGGGCCTTCGGTGGAGCTCCCTATGGTGCCACGAAGCGTGTGAGGGGTGTGCCGAAATGGGTGTGGGGGCGCATGCGAACACAGTCACTGAGGCCCAGTTCGTGTGAGGGATGTGCCGTGGCATAAATGCCACTGGGGCCTTCATGGGGCCACGAAACGTGTGAGGGATGTGCCGAAATGGGTGTTGGGGAGGCATGCGGACCCTGCCACTGGGGCCTTCGGTGGAGCTCCCCTATGGGGCCACGAAGCGTGTGAGGGGTGTGCCGAAATGGGTGGTGGGGAGGCATGCGGACCCTGCCACTGGGGCCTTCGGTGGAGCTCCCTATGGGGCCACGAAACGTGTGAGGGGTGTGCCGAAATGGGCGGTGGGGAGGCACGCGAACCCTGCCACTTGGGGCCTTCGGTGGAGCTCCCTATGGGGCCACGAAACGTGTGAGGGGTGTGCCGAAATGAGTGGTGGGGAGGCATGCGAAACCTGCCACTGGGGCCTTCGGTGGAGCTCCCTATGGGGCCACGAAACGTGTGAGGGGTGTGCCGAAATGGGTGGTGGGTAGGCATGCGGACCCTGGTGTTCCACTGGGGCCTTCGGTGGAGCTCCCTATGGGGCCACGAAGCGTGGAGGGTGTGCCAAAAATGTTGGTGTGGGAGGCATGCGGTACCTTGCCACTGGGGCCTTCGGTGGAGCTCCCTATGAGGCCACGAACGTGTGAGGGGTGTGGCCGAAATGGGTGGTGGGGAGGCATGGCGAACCCTGCCACTGGGGCCTTCGGTGGAGCTCCCTATGGGCCACGAAACGTGCGAGGGGTGTTGCCGAAATGGGTGGTGGGGAGGCTGCGAACCCTGCCACTGCGGCCTTCGGTGGAGCTCCCTATGTCCCTGCGGGGCCACGAACCGTGTGAGGGGTGCGCCAATATGGGGCGGGGCCGCCATGCGAACCCTGCCACTGGGGCCTTCGGTGGAGCTCACTATGGGGCCACGAACCGTGTGAGGGGTGCGCCACAATGAGGCGGGGCCGCCATGCGAACCCTGCCCCTGGGGCCTTCGGTGGAGCTCCCTATGGGGCCACGAAACGTGTGAGGGGTGTGCCGAAATTGGTGGTGGGGAGGCATGCGGACCCTGCCACTGGGGCCTTCGGTGGAGCTCCCTATGGGGCCACGAAACGTGTGAGGGGTGTGCCGAAACCGGTGGTGATGATGATGATGATGATGATGATGATGATGATGATGATGATGATGATGATGATGATGATGATGATGATGATGATGATGATGATGATGATGATGATGATGATGATGATGATGATGATGATGATGATGATGATGATGATGATGATGATGATGATGATGATGATGATGATGATGATGGGAGGATGGAGGGGGGGGAAGGAGGAGGAGGTGAGGAACGCGGGGCGCCGTCTCTTCAAAACGAGGACCCAACACCACAGGATGGTTGGGGAAAAAGAGGATTCCAACACTTTTTTGTTTTCTAAGTTCGCCTGGCAGCTTGGCTACGCTTGCAAACAAAGGAAATATCATATTTATGCCTCCTCTTCCTCCTCCGCCTTTTCCTCCTCCTTGTCCTCCTCTGCAGCCTGCCTGCTCCTCCTCCTCATCCACCCCCTTCTCCCCCAGGAAATCCCTTCACTTCCCTCCCTCTGGCAACGTCCAGCCGCGGCGAAGAGAAGGACCCCCGACGTGTTTCTTGGGCCTGTCTTAGGCCGCCGTGGGTGGACCGTAGGAAGTTTTGAAAGCCACTTGGGCCGTCCTCGGATTTCTTGGAAGCCCGCGAGAGTTCGACCATCCATCCTAGCCAGAACTTGAACGAGCGCGAAGCGCGCTCGATGGTTCTAGTATTAATATTACTAATACTAACAGTCAGCATGTTCCCTACCTAGGCTCTGCCTAGAAGGGTTCTTATTCGGTATGCTTAGAGGGCCGGGCAGTGGGGCCCGCCCCGGGCGGTTCCCCCAGTATCCGCCCCGCGGTTCCCCCAATTACGCCCCGTGGGTTCGCCCAGCTTAGCTTAGCTTAGCTTAGCTAAGCTAAGCTTAGCTTAGCTTAGCTTGGCTTGGCTTGGCTTAGCTTAGCTTAGCTTAGCTTAGCATAGCTTAGCTTACCTTAGCATAGCTTAGCTTACCTTAACTTAGCTTAGCGCAGCGCAGCATAGCGCAGCGCAGCATAGCGCAGCGCAGTATTAGCACAACATAGCATAGCATAGCCAAGCATAGCCAAGCATAGCATAGCATAGCTCAGCATAGCATAGCTCAGCATAGCATAGACCGCGCTACCGCTCCACAGCATAGCATAGCATAGCATAGCATAGCACAGCACATAATAGCATAGCATAGTATAGCGCAGCATAGCATAGCACAGCATATAGGAGGACGGCGTTTACCGCTCCTACTAATGTTGCTTTCCTAGAGGGTCCAACTCCTAGGTAGGGTCGCACTGGGATAATTTTCTTTAGCAATCATCGATGGAATACCAAACATAATAACAGTCATATCGGAAGAATAATCATCTTATTATCAAAAAGAAGAGGATGAAGAGGAGGAGGAGGAGGATGGGGGAGGCGGGGGGAGCGAGAGGAGGAGGGGTAATAGTAGTAGTAGTAGTAGTAGTAGTAGTAGTAGTAGTAGTAGTAGAAGTAGTAGTAGTAGTAGTAGTAGTAGTAGTAGTAGTAGTAGCAGTAGTAGTAGTAGCAGTAGTAGTAGTAGTAGTAGTAGTAGTAGTAGTAGTAGTAGTAGTAGTTATAGTAGTAGTTATAGTAGTAGTTATAGTAGTAGTAGTAGTAGTAGTAGTAGTAGTAGTAGTAGTAGTAGTAGTAGTAGTAGTATTCGTAGCAATCGTAATCGTAGTAGTAGTAGTAGTAGTAGTAGTAGTAGTAGTAGTAGTAGTCGCAGAAGTAGTAGAAGTAGTAGTAGTAGTAGTAATAGTAGTAGTAGTAGTCGTCGTAGAAGTAGAAGTGAAAGTATAAGTAGAAGTATAAGTAGAAGTATAAATAGAAATTGAATTATAAGTAGTAGTAGCAGTAGTAGTAGTAGTAGTAGTAGTAGTAGTAGTAGTAGTAGTAGTCGTAATAAGAGTAGTAGTAGGTAGTATTAGTAGTAGTAGTAGTAGTAGTAGTAGTAGCAGTAGCAGTAGCAGTAGCAGTAGTGGTAGTAGTAGTAGTCGTAGTAGTAGTAGTAGTATGTAAGTAGTAGTAGTCGTAGTAGTAGTAGTATAGTAGTAGCAGTAGTCGTAGTATTAGT